CCGATGATGAAGTGAATTATTTAGTGTGGTTCACAAGGAACGTGTAGATTTCAGAGGTGATTTTCTCCCTTTTTCCTTTGATTCAACCTCCACTTTTTCTCAATATTAGCGGAAGCAATTAGGCCCAATTTGATTTAGGCCTCGAACCCCTTTTGCCGTATTCTCTCTTTCGCCATCATTTTCCAACTTATCCCCCCGGTTCTTCCAGTCTATCTCGTCATTTGCTCTTCTACTCAGCCCACCCCTGCCCACGAACAGTGTCGTCACGTAAACGGAACGTTTGTTATCCCATTTGCTTTTGGTACAGGTCGTCAAATCCTGGCCTCACTCAGCCAGCAGCACAGTTCCTGTACGTTGGCACACAGGAGGACTAAGCAATTAGGGTAAGCCTGCGCGACAGAAATGTAGCTCCAAGAGGCAGTTGCTCTCTCCCTCAACTCGATTGGCCGTCCCGTCTGTATGCTGACGGGCCGAATGCAACTCAATTCACGTCTGCTCAATTGTCTTGTCGCATTTTATGCCGGTTGCCGCATGGTTTGGAGGACAACTCCTGCCACAATTGCAGACACGTCTGCACGCACACGCGTGCACGTACACGCAGACTGGCTGTGTGACGATAGTCATCTTCGAGCAGGCTCAAAGTCTACCACCGTCTCAGATCCAGCCAGGACTCATCGCCATGGCAGCCCCAGTTTTTTGGTGGAAAACCGATAAACTCCCGCAAAGTTGGCCTCGTGTGATTAGCCAAGGAAGGGTCTTACAACCGTTGCCAGCTTGTTGCCAAGCCTAAACGATACTGTCTGTCTGAAAGTGCAATTCTCCCGAGAGCCTAAACGTAAACACATTGATAGGCATAGATAACTACCGTGTCATCCCAACCCAGCCCATCCCGTTTCGGTCATCCCTTTCTACCTCCTGGCCAAGTTCACAGCCGACATTGACAACAAGTTGGGCCATATCGCTAGGACTCATCTCTCGCCACGGCTGGCAACTGTCGTGTCCGACACACGTTGCTGCCAACGGGGCCGGAGTAGGGACTGAGTCTGTGGGCTCGTGGCCAGCCTCGAATTGAGCAAACTGCTTCACCCGCCACATTTCGCCACAATAGACGCCCAGTCGTGTCCGGCACGGGAATGCACGTGTTCACGGACAGAT